GCAAGTTATTCCTGAGGGGTCAAAGCCTATATGGGGGCTTTCAGAAGCCAGGCCTGGAGCTCAACTACTCCCAGCGAACCTTGTAACTGCTTTCACAGGCAGCGTGTCCTGCACAGACAGGCGAGACCTACTGCTGCTGCTGAGAATGTACAGGGAGCACCTTCACAAGGCCTAGGTTGGTTTTAATACTATTTGACACTATTTAATACTATTTGTCTTTAACAGTCTGCAGAAACTCATCATTAGCCTTTCACAATTTAAACCCACAGCAGTTCCTCAGCCTTAGTCAAGCCTGATCCTGGGTAGGCCACATCTCAGACTTTGCTCCCCTGCTCTTGGCTGGACACAGGAGGCTCAAACAGCACAGGTGACCTCAGCTCGTCCCTCATACAAGCTGCCTGCTCCTGCCTCTCTGGCCAGCCCACTCTTCTTCCTCTTCTTCCCCTGAAGGGGAGGTGGCGGCCAGTGTGTTGGGACCCAGGATCACTGCATGGCTGTGAGCGGGACTGGGCAACCCCCCCAAGACCCCCAACAGTCCCTGCAGGAACAAGGCATGGGGTGCAGGCTCCTGCCCACTGTCTCACGTGTACTCTGTCTTCCGGATGTAACTTGAGGGTACGTAGCCCTGCTTTCCATGCACCTCGGCCAGCCACCACTCCTGATTGCCTGTGATGTCCTCAAACTGCAAAATCCTGAGTCTCTGGTTAGCTGACACGCTCAGCTCGTTGGTGTTTCGGCCTTTGAAGGTATAGAGAGCATAGTACACCTGCTAGACAGAGGGAGAATGTCAGTTGGATGGTCATGCCACACAGCCTTGCTGTCACACTGATAGGTTGTGTGGGCTTTTGTTCTTCTCCCCAAACAGCGACAGCCCCAACCTCATCCTGGCCTCTGTCAGAGCTGCATCTGCCTGCCCACCCCCAGCTGCAGCCTTGGTCTCTGTCTCTGCACCTCTGCTGCTGGGAGAAGAGATCTTGTTACTCCACCTCCCACCTGCCCCTGGTCACTGCCAGGGAGGAGGATGATTCAACTCGAGTCAGCCCTTGGCATCCCCAGCCCCCCGGGGTGGCTAAGGACTCACCTGGTTGCCCTCTGACTCGCCGCTCTCCAGCCCAGAGTCTCTGTCCTCCACTGAGAGCGTGGGCCTGAGATGTGCTTTAGCAGGATGCCCACTGTGAGAGTTGGCGCTGCAGCCCAGCTCAAGGCGTCTGGAGTGGCGCTGAGATACCACTGTACCAGCCTCCGGCGGCACTGCCCTGTCGCCAGAGCCAAGCTGGGGCAGAGAATCCACCTCCAGTGGGGGCTGTGGGGACTGGTGTGAGTCTGCTGGGGAGGCTGAGTCCTGCGGGGGTTTCTGAGTGAAGGTGACGGCTGCCCCGCTGGGGCTGAAGGTCAGTGTGGCATTGCTCTGGGGAGAGGAGCTGCTGTGTTCTGACTCGTTGGAAGAGTGGCTGCCCACAGAGACATCCGACTGGCTGCGGCGTGGGTTGTAGGGTTTCAGAAAGGAGCTGTACACAAAGCCTTTTGTCACTGCAGAGAGGGAGAGAAAAGGTGCTCAGATTGGGACACAGCAGGACCAGAGGAGGGGACTCACAGCATGCACCAAGGGCAGGGAGCAGCCACTTACTCCCATTGTCTATGAGCCAGCGATTCTGGCTACCCATGGGGTCCTTTTTCTTGATGACACCCACAATGTCTCCTTCCAGCAGTGAGACATCCAGGTCTTGGGCAGCATTGAAATTGCGCTCTGCCTGGAAGAGACTCTCCGGGGGATAGCGGGCCAGGAGGGCAGCTCGGATGTCATCCGACTGCAGGAAGTAGCTAGGCTGCAGAGGAACAAGGCAGGTGTGAGTGGCTGCCCTGGGCTCCGCCAGCCCTGACACTGGGCAGAGGGGGGAACTCACCAAGCCCACAAGGGGCTGCCGCCGGACAGACTGCCGTTCCATGCTCTTCCTTTCAAAAGTTTTCTTAGGAGCTGCCTGGGACTCTGGGAAGAAGGTGAAGGCCTGGAGCTGCTGGAGGACTCGACTGTGCTCATCCTGGAAGACGGCAATGAGGTTCCCCTCCCTGCCAGACACCTTCAGCAACTGGAACCAGAGCAGAGTTGGGGGTCCTGGTTAGGTGACAGCTGTTGGGAAAACTGGCCAAGAGCTACAGCAGAGATGATGACAGGGGCTCCGAGTCCTGCCTGTGACTTTTAAAGGGCCCAGAATTGCAGTCCTGAGATTCTTCCTTGCAAATGTTCTGCCACTGCTCCAGGAGCAGCCAGTCTCTTCACTGTATCTATGCATGACTGCATCATGACCCTGCAATCCCTGCCCTGACAGCATCCCACACAAGCCCTCCCCAAGTCACTTGTGGCCTGAAACTAGTAGCAGCTTCCTCCATAATGTGACATGTCCCAGGCAAGGCTCAGGGAGAAGCCCTGCACAGAGATTAGTGCTGCACTGAGCCCAGAGCACTGTCTGCACTCTGGGAACCCACCGACAGCAGAGGTCTCAGCTCCTCCAGGGCCAGGCGCACGAAGTCACAGTGTGCCTCGGCATAGCCCCTCACGCAGCTGGCAAATAGCTCCTTGGAAAAGCACAGGAACTTGGGCAGCTCATCCAGCAGCTGGGCATTGAGGGCCTCGTAGTCGTTGCGAGCTGACTGCAGCTCCTCCAGTGTTCGCTTGTCCTTCAGCCTCTCTGCTCGCTCCGTGCAGTTATGGAAGTCGAGGAGCTTGTCGAAGCGCTTCTGCACCAGCTTGTGGGGCCCTGCAAACATGCTCAGCAGCTGGTTCAGGGGTGAGCTCACCAGCCGCTCTGTCCGCTCTTTCTGGTGGGCAGAGACACAGAGAGGAGGTGAGACAAGGTGCTCTCTCCCAATGTGCAGTGAACATCAGCAGCTCATTCTCCAGCACATAATCTCCCAAGGAGAGTATAGGGACTGTCTTCCACCCACAAGAGCTCCAGAGACCCCTTCTAACATTGATTATTCTATAATCTTACTAACTGTGCCAGCATGGTAATACCATGGGAAGTACCCAAACCACTCACATAACGAGCTGCAGCGTTTCAGGTAGGGCTGGAAAAATGTATACCTAAGAGGCCCACCCATAAACTCCCAGACATCAGAGCTCTTGTGACAGAAGAGGTAAGCTCCTCCCTCAGGTTACCCTCCCTGCAGCCTCCCTGGGGCCACCTATCTGCAGCAGACCCCCAGGGAGGGCCCCAAGGGTACCCCCAAGCACATGAGAGCACAGCCTCACTCACAAAGTTGGAGAAGAGCTGGTCGCTGATGAGCCGATTCACTTTCTGAAACTGGTCCATGTTCCCACTTCCCTTCTCCATGCACAGGTCCCACATGCTCCCTGCTGCCAGTGCCTTCATACAAGCCGACTCCTGCAGCAGGGCCACACAGTCAGCTTGACTATGCTTGCTGCCTATAGGAAGAGGCCTCCCAGGGCAGCCCAGACCCTCAGAGACCACCCTCCTGGCAGAGCTAAGGCCAGGAGCACTGGCCAGAGGCACTGCAGGTACACAGCAGGCAGACAGGAGGGGCAGTGCACAACAAGCCCTACAGGTTCAGCATCACACCGAGGCCAACTCACCCGGACATGCTGCAGGTAGAGGGAAAGGTCCCGGATGAAGGACTTGATCAGTCGCTCCTGCATCCGGAAATTTTTCTCTGTCTCTTGAAAGGCTTCGTCCTTCAGCTGTGAGAGAAAGCGTTTCAGGGAAGGCAATGCAGAACTCCAGCACAGCCCAGAGTGTGAGGTGTGGGTCTCCTGCCCACAAGCTGGACAGCAGAGATGGGTGGTTCAGACTCTAAGCTCACTCTGCCTCGCTGGTCTGGATCAGAGCTACACACTGGGGAAGAGGTGTGGAGAGACAGCAGATACCACCACAGAAGCACAGCAGGGTGTAAGTACACCTGATGCACATTACCTGGGGTGCAAAGCCTGTGAGATGCTTGATGTGGCTGCTCACACGGTTGGATTTCTTGAGAATAGAATGTAAGTTGATCTTGGAGATCTTCTCCATAAGGCTATCATCATACCCTTTCCTGTACTTTAGCACTAAAGAGATTGATATAGAAATCAAAACTCTTGTAAGCAAAAAATCCATGTCTTACAGTGCCTCATCAACAATCACCTTGCTGGCTCTCCTCTTCACTAAGCCTCTGCAGTCCCAAGTACCCCACAATCATTATAGAATGGCTTGGGTTGGAAGGGACCTTAAAGTTCCAACACACCTACCATGGACAGGTACACCTTCCACTAGACCAAGTTGCTCAAAGTCCCATCCAACCTGGTCTTGAACGCTTCCAGGGATGAGGCATCCACAACTTCTCCAGGCAACCTGTTCCAGTGCCTTGCTACCCTCATTGTAAAGAATTTCTTCCTTATATCTAATCTAAATCTACCCTCTCTCAGTTTAAAGCCATTATTTGTAGACCCACCATTCAAGCTCTTCTATAGGATTATGCATAGCGTCAGCATAAGATGACATAGGACAGGTTGTACAATGATCATTCAACAAGGGAAGACAGGGAGGGTGGTCAGCAGGTATCAAAGGGAATAATTTTATCCCTCTGTTCAGTCCCAGGGAGGCTGCACTTGGGTACTGTATCTAGTTTTGGTCCCCAAGGTCATGAGAGATGTGGGAGAACTACAGTTCCTGATCCACAAGGAGAGCTCAGGCCCCACAGGGAGAGCTGGAGGAGTTGGGTGGGCTCAGCCTGGCTGGGAGGATGCAGAGCGGGATCTGTTCACAACTAGCAGCTACTTGAAGGTCAGTTACAAAGGTGATGGGGCCAAAATCCTCTAAGCAGTGCCAGGCAACACAGGCAGTGCCCACAGATGGCAGCTTGGGAGCTTCAGGGTGCATCAAGGAGTGCAGCTTCACCATGAAGGTGATGTAGTCCTGGCATAGGACAGCAGAGAGGCTGTGAAATCTCCATCCTTAGTAGTCAGCAAGAACTGGCTGGAGGGAGCAGTGGCTGATCACAGAAAACGTTGGGGACAATTCTGCTCCAAGCAGGATGTTGGACAGGAGACCCAGGAGTGCCCTTGGCAGCCAGCACTTCTGTGATTTTGTCCTGTCTACAGACACACCTTCAGACTTAAGCCTCCAGATCTCAGTAAGACAGACTACCCCAACAGATTAATTCCCTACTTGTGTAATTTAAAATTGCATTTTTAACATTACATATTCTTTTGTCTTTATCATTATTTTTGTTTTCATTTAATAGCAACTGCATACATTTAATATCTCTAAAGTCAGATGTATATTGTGTTACTTTAAGTATTGTATGTCATGCTCAGATATTTTAAATGCAGCTCTTCTACTGCCCTTTTGTGCGGGCACAGAGTTTGGGAGTAGCTTTCCTCCATAACTGTTGTTGCCAGCTAAGGCTCAGGGGCCAGCAGATGCCAACCTCAACACACCCACTCCTGTCTCTCTCTCTTGAGTACTACCCAGCTACTCACCCAGGTCCTTCCTACGCTTGTATTCATTGATGTTGACATTGATTTCTTTGACTGCAAGGACAGCAGCCGCGAGTGGCGCCTTATCAGGATGAGCCTCAGGGGTGGTGCTCAGCAGCTCCATCAGCAGCAGGGGGTATCGCATCACCCTTTGCACTGGCTTGATGAGGAAGGAGCCCAGGTTAATGTAGTTTCTGCAGCCCCTGGGAAGTTGGAACAGGAGATGCACCAGGTGTCAGTCCAGCTCTGCCACACAAATTCTGCCCCCTCACATTAATGCCAACCAGAACACCAATGCCTCCACATCCACTGTACTCATGTAGTACTCATGTACACTGTAGTCATGCCACCCGCGTGTACAATCTCACTGCTCCTAAACTCCTGGTGCTCTCGGATCAATCCCAGGTTTTCAGTTCTCACTCATACCAGGTGATCCTTCCCAGTCAGGATTCTCTCCGCCACCAGACCCACCATGAAATACTACATAGGCACAGCCACACACTTGTTGAGTGCCACTTGTTTCAGACTCTGTCCCACCACCCAACTGCCTGGATCTGTCCTCCTGTGCAGGACAGACTGACTGCACTCAGGACTGCAGCCACTGCAGGATGCTCCTGGCTCCTTGAGCCTGAGGGGTCCTAGAACCTGTTTCCTGCCCAAGACCTCATCACCTGTGCTGTCTACCTGTGTAGTCCACCCTTTGCTTCTGCTACAGTCATGCCACAGACACTCCTCCCAGGTGTGCCTCCACAAGGCACTGTTAGGGACTCACAGCATGCACCCAGCTGGTGGCAGGAGGTTAGTTATAAGGGAACAGCCAAGCCAAGACAGACAGACAAGCAGGGGCTAAGTGCACTTACCACTCACTGTACAGCCTCCTGTTGGCCCACAGAGTGCCAAAAAGCAAAGAAAAGCAATGAGTTAGTGGGGTGGCAGGTGTGCAATCCCACAGCCAGCACTTTCACCCCACCAGTCATGCTGCTAGGGCAGTGGGCAGCCCTGTCTCTCCAGAGCAGCAGCCGGCACTGCCAGCTCCTGGGACATTAACCTCCACAAGCTGGAGCCCTGGCAGTAACTGAGCCAGGCAAAGCAGCTCCTTCCTCACCAACCATGGTGGGTCAGGGTTTGGGGAACAGGAGCCCTCAATCCAGGACACGCCACCTTCTCTGTACCTTGGTAGCTTCTATGCAGATTTTAAGGGGGCCTACAGGTGTTCCAGCACCTGCGCACTGAGGCAAGGGGCCATTTGAACCCAGAGCCTGGTCAACTATGCAGTGCCACAGTCAGACCCTCTCTAGTCACCACCTGAACTGTCCAAACACAGCTGGCAGAAGGGCAAGGGTGCTGGAGACTGACCCCCCTATCCCAGCTTAGCAGCCATCACACCCAGAGGCTCCAACCTGAGGCTATCCAGCAGGTCCAGAAGTAGTTTCTGCATCTTCTCATCCTTCTCATAAGTTTCCAGCAGTGCGATGGCCTCATCGTGGTTCTGGCAATACACCTTGTAGATGCTCTCCAGCTTTGCACGCTGTGTCAGGAACACTGGCCCTGCAGACAGCAGCAAAGCAGGACTTCAGTGTCTCCTGCTCCCCAGCTGCCTCCAAAAATGCTGGTGTGCCTCACAGTGAGAGGTCCAGTGTCCCCGTTCCACACACAAACAGCTACTACAGCATGCAGGACACGTCCTCATCACCCATTAACACAGAAAGCTCAATCAATCCAGGTCTCCCAGGAGTGAGAAGTGGGGACACAGAGCACAGGCACAAGCGGTCCAAGGCCTGAATAGCAAAAGCTGGCAGTGCAGGAGTGAAAAGTGGGGCTCCCCTTGGGGCAAGGGGCCATGAAGGACTACAGGCACTGTGTTTCTCAGCAGTGACCCATGGGACAACACAGAATGCCTTGTTAGACTGATGAGTGGTGACAGGGACCAGCAGGGAGAAAACCCAGTCCCAACAATCCTCTCCCACCATTTAAACTGTTCTGTCCTGCCACTAGCGAAGCCAATCCCAGCCTTCAGAGAAAAGCTAACAGAAGAATTCTTACCAATGGCATCTGAAGCCTCCAAGGTCGACAGCAGCTGCTTGGAGAAGCTAATTACCATGTGGATGTTTCCAAAAAGGCCATCAAAGTCTATGTTCTGCATCTAGTGAACGGGAAAAGAGATGACCTGGATGGGGGAACCTTGTCCCAGTCAACCCTGCCTTGCCCTCCTGCAAACCATCAGTCCTCAGATTCACAGCAGGCACCTGGTGTGACCTTTTCCCACCACAGTGACTTCTGTACACACTTGTCCCACAGTGCACTGAAACTCTCACTCCTTATGCGTCCTACCATAGCGTCCTCCTCTTTCCTAGCAATTCCATCCCAGCCTCTGTTCACCTGTTTTTCTACCTCTCCTCCCACTAACTCTGCCCCCATGCCAAGACCCCATATCTTATTTCTCCTGACAATGAATTTAACCTACAAACCAAAGGAAAAGAAACATATCGCCCTCTACACCTACTTGAAAGGAGATTGTAGTCAGGTGGGGATTGGTCTCTTCTCCCAGGCAACCAGCAGTAGGACAAGAGAGCACAGACTCAAGCTCTGCCAGGGGAGGTTTAGGTTGGATATTAGGAAGAGACTTTTACGAAGAGAGTTATCAGGCATTGGAATGGGCTACCTGAGGAGGCAGTGGATTCACCATCCCTGGAGGTTTTCAAGATGAGACTGGATGTGGCACTTGGTGCCATGGTCTATAGTAGGGTTGGACTTGATGATCTTTGAGGTCTTTTCCAACCCAGTTGGTTCTATGATTTTCTGCTTTGGGAAATGTATCTATGATACTTGCTGCCAGGTCTTTTGCTTTCAGCAAGGATGAGACCTCAGCAGGATCTCAAAACAGATGGGCTGTTGCTACAAGTGCAGAGAGCTGTGAGAACCATCCTGCTCCCCTCGGCATAGCTTTAATTTCCTCTATGGGTTCCCATGCTGCTTGGTCACCTTGGAGAACAAAATGGACTCAGTATCCTTACCCCAAACCACCAGTGCTGCACCACAGCTTGCCCTCTCTCCCTTTGGGTTCCTACCTGTGCCTTCTGCAAGGGCACCATGATCCTCTCCACACACATCTCCAGGTCTCTGATATAGTCCCGCTCTGTTTGGAGTAGTTCCTCAATAACCTTGGACCTCTTCTCCAGCATCCTTTGCTCTGTGCTTTCAGTGGCAGCTGAGGATGTCTCCAGGGATGGCGTCTGGGAGGACAGGAGAGTCATCTCTGCAAGAGAGACAAGCAAGATCAGCAAGCTCCAGCAAGGATCGGAGACAAATAGCACCCTAACTGTGACACATGTAACCTATGAGGCTGACAACACTATTAACAGACCAAGAAAATCCACCCAAGGGCCTTTCCAGGGCGGTCATCCCCGGGCAGCAGGGAGCCACGGAGGCTCCGCAGCCCACCCTCGCAGCACCAGAAACGCTGCAACGCCCCCGGCACCGGGGCGGTGGGCACCGGCACCATC